GTCATTGAGGTAGCAATAATATCACCGCCTCGTTATTAAGTGTGATATAACATCGAGGTCAGCGAGGTAACAGTAATATCAACGCCTCGTTATTAAGTTTGATATGACATCGGGGTCAGCGAGGTAACAGTAATATCACCGCCTCGTTATTAAGTTTGATATGACATCGAGGTCAGCGAGGTAACAGTAATATCACCGCCTCGTTATTAAGTTTGATATGACATCGAGGTCAGCGAGGTGACAGAAATATCACCGCCGCGTTATTAAGTTTGATATGAAATCGAGGTCAGCGAGATAACAATAATATCACCGCCGCGTTATTAAGTTTGATATGAAATCGAGGTCAGCAAGATAACGGTATAATATCACCGCCTCGTTATTAAGTTTGATATGACATCGAGGTCAGCGTGGAAAAAGTAATATCACCGCCTTGTTATTAAGTTTGATAAGACATCGAGGTCAGCGAGGTGACAGAAATATCACCGCCGCGTTATTAAGTTTGATATGACATCGAGGTCAGCGAGATAACATTAATATCACCGCCTCGTTATTAAGTTTGATATGACATCGAGGGCAGTACCAATATTACAGACGTGTCATGTAAGAGTTACCGACAGTTCTGATTATCATACGACGTTCTATTCCGTGATATTCCTGTCAAATTCTTATTTCATTAAAAATAAATTATTAGAAATAATCTCGCGGTTTTTGTTTTTCATATACATGACATAATACGGTCCCTCTATCAAACGACATTGTAAGCTATTGATTCTCTGTGTTCGATGTATGTAATGTGCGGTAATCCGTTATAACATGTATGTCTATATCAACGATGGCGTATTGCTCGTGTTTTCAAGGGAAATATATCGCTTTCTCTTACCCTGGACAGGTGTATCCGCACTTTTACCGGTGTGAGATCTCCTTTTCTCCCACACCTGACAGATTTATCTCCCGTTTTGCCGGTGCTAGATTTATCTGTCTCCGCCCTAGGGTTGAGACGGGGGGATTCCCCTATTCATAACAATGGCGTGACGTCACTTCAACAATACAATGATGTCACGTCAACAATCCATCAACAAATTGCCTGTATGCGTTTTGGGTCCATGTTTACCTTTATTTCACATTAAAATACTGTTAAATATGGGAGAAAAATAATCAATCGCTACTGGTTGTGTAAGATAGGGAAATCTCAACCCTCGGACTAAGATTTTTTGTCCAGAACTCGGCAAGCCTCGTTCTTGACAAAAAATCTTAGTCCTCGGGTTGAGATTTCTCTATCTTACACAACCAGTAGCGATAGATTCTATTATTCTCTTACCCTGAACATGTGTATCCGCATTTTTATCGGAGTGAGCTTTCCTTGTCTCACCCTAGGGCTGAGACAGGGGGGTTCCCCTATTCCTAACAATGGCATGACGTCACTTTAACAATACAATGACGTCACGTCAACAATCCATCAACGTCACGTCAACCCTGAATTTAGCATGTAACGTTATCATTACATTGTGCATATGATACACAATGAAAGAACAGGGTAAGAGAAAAAAAAATCATTCACCCCCTTGTGGGTGAGATAGTGGAATCTCAACCCTCGGGGAAAGATTCTTAAGTTGCCAAACACTCGGCAAAGCCTCGTGTTTGGCAACTTAAGAATTCTCCCCCTCGGGTTTAGATTTTCCTATCTCACCCCCAAGGGGATGAAAGATTCTATTAGTCTCACCCTAGGGTTGAGACGGGGGGATTCCCCTATTCATAACAATGGCATGACGTCACTTCAACAATACAATGACATCACGTCAACAATCCATCAACGTCACGTCAACCCTGAATTTACATGTAACGTTATCGTTACATTGTGTATATGAACACAATGGGAGAACAGGGTAAGAAAAAAAGAATCATTCACCCCCTTGTGGGTGAGATAGGGGAATCTCAACCCTCGGAAAGAATTTTCCCCCTCGGGTTGCGATTCTCCTATCTCACCCCCAAGAGGGTGAAATATTCTATTAGTCTCACCCTGCACGAAACATTGCCGCGTGCTAAACCGGAAGTTACACATATAATATATCGCTGTCTTACCCGGAGTGGATAACCAGCACGAAACATTATCGCGTGCTAAAACGGAAGTTACACATTTAATATATATCTGTCTTACCCGGCGTGGATAACCAGCACGAAACATTATCGTGTGCTAAAATGGAAGTTACATATGTGTACTGCAAAGTCGTGACGGCGGCAACCTTTGATCTATAGGTAGAATGCTAGCACGCGTTCTGATGAACTTCGACCCCAGAGACGATATGATGTGTGTTTTTTTGCATTTTGTTATCCGAACAGGGACGTTAATGACCTAGTCAACCTCAAAATGATTCGATGTTACATTTCATAAGGTATTCCTGAAGATTAGTTACTTTAGCCTTAAAATCTATAACTCTTCTGTAACTTATGTTGCGTATAAAAAAAAACGGAAAAAGTCATCGGACATTCACAAGAAAACAGTTTTATGAATAAGAAAGACTTTGTTCTGTTCTGGAGCTTTTGGAGTCAAACCTCCTTTGCATCAGGTCATTTCGGTGGTGCTTAAGGCGCCAGCACCAAAATAATGCCGTAGGCAATACTCTGAGAGAAGGAAAAGATGGAGGGACCTATTCAGTTTAGAATGAACAACATATTACACAAGATCATCATGTATAGAAAACACTGGGCTTGTTTCGAAAAATCACAGAAACTGACCTTGTAATTCTTAATTAAGTCTTCTTTGGGAATAGCAATGTAAGTATGAAACCATGTGTGTCTTTTTGTTTGGGGATAAACCTTATAAGTCGGACAGATGCTTGTGTTTCCCTTCCTATCATGCTTTTAGCATTAAGTATTTTACATAATATTATATCATCACATTCGAGTGTATTTACAAAATAAAATTTTCACTTTTCTGAAACAACTTGACTTACATGCTGAATATGTCCAATTCGAATTTAATTCGAAACACGTACATTGTAAAATGTAATACGTACAGTAAAATAACTGCGCGTAAGCCCACTCACACCAGATTTTGGGAGACTGTGATGATCAGGAAAGAGCTAACTTCGAGTTAAATACAATTTGACGGCAGAAACGTGAACAAGAATCTTGAGTCCCGAGTAGTATTTTTTGGAAACAATGTTTTTGAAGTTGACTTTGTACGATTGTCGTTCTTCTTTTATAGTATAAGACACTTTCGACAAACCTTTGGATGGACAAGTAATATACATGTCTCTTGGTGTAATGCGCTTTCTCGTAACGTTCTGGTATTATAGAGGTACTTCCATCCCACCCCATCGACACGCCGGACGTTATGATCTGTACCTTTATAGAAACACGAGGGGATTTGACAATAGTCCTCTGTACCGAGTAAGGCTGTCAGAGGTAATACAATCTTGTCAGCAACTGTTGTATAATCGTGCAAACAGGGAATATCACGTCAGCCTCGGTCGTGTCGGTATTGTGCTGGGAATAACACGCGAACCATAAAGGTAGCAGATGAACCTTCCATCATCCACAGACTATTAGTTTTGAATTTCTCTACACCGGACAGACGTCAAGTCTGAACTAGGTTTGGGATTTCTCTACACAGACAAGACCTGCACCTAGACCTTTTATCATGTCTGAACGGAAAAGGTACAAGAACAACGGAACAAAATTAAAATAATAATAAAAATAAAAATCTCGTTTGTCTGGACACTTAAAGTTACAGGGTCAAACCTAATAGTCAACGTTGAAATAAGAAGATCCATTCGTAATATCGTTAACACATGTAAGATATCAGAAATTTCAAGTTCTAAATAATCACCGTTGGATTATAAACATAATAAAATTTGAAAGTTATTGCACAACAAAGATGTCCACGCTCCCAATTAGTCGAAATCAACGCAACTTTTGGTATAACAAACAAACCTGAGCTAGCCCCAAAGTCTAACCAAAGTCATTAGCGGCAAACATAGGTCGCAATGACCTATATTTGATACGTTGGTGTAAGGTTGATGATAATGATGACAATAGGACAAAAACTTGATAATAATTTGTTTCATCATTAGGTTGGAATATTGTTAAAGCGAGGTAAAATAATCATTATTTCCCTGATTCTTTTACATTTCATTACGAGAACAAATGAAGTTCCCCTGAATCTATACTGGGTTTGAGAGATTGATCCATTGCCTACTTACTGCAGGGACACTTCCGTCTTATGATGTTAAAATGAGAATTTACGAAACTGAGGATATAGATTAACAGATTTACGAAACTAAGGATACATATGTATTGATTTAAATGCTCGTTAACTTAGAAATGTTTCAGTTAAAGTATATGTTTGTTATTGCATTCTATGCGGTTTACATGTCAGTGCGAGAAGGTCACACCTATAACCATTTAGGATGTACTCTAACTAGACCATTAATGGTGTCTATCTCGACTCGAACGGAGACAAACCTCCGGGGTTTTGAAAGAGTGTTCTATAGTAGGTGTGTGCTCAGCAAAGACGTACTAGTTTTTAATCGCATTAAGATTTTAAGTACACAAGGAACTCTCGGCTTCATGGAAATCTTAACAGTTTGTCAAAAATCAAATGTATGATTGTAAAGACAGCATGGCTTCAATACCTATGGTAGAAATATCGGATGTTCAAACAAGGTTTTGCTACATGCTGTGTTTTTATGCGAAAATGGATTTCATGAAGAAACGTGCTGAACAAGATTGTTTCCGAAAAAGTCGTTTAAAAGAATAGCATTTCTTTTATTGAAGAATGACGTTTAGTTTTGATTTGCTCAGCATACATACTTTGCTACCTGGCAGCTTAACGTAACTTCTAGCAGCTAAATAGCATCATAGATATGTGTAATTGCTATACTGAACATGCCTGGCAGCCTGACATAAGGGCTACAAATGTTCTACTGTAACTTGTCATATGATTTGAATGACCGGAACTACAACATTTATCGTTTGTAGCCTCACTACAGTGTACTTACCCCTCTATCGAGCACACCGCCTTAGGATCCTGTATATCGGTATAGGACGAGTATAGTATTTTGTCATGCGTAAACCAAGACTTCCGGTCTGTATTCGTCCCGTCAAACACTACAAAAGCTTTTTCATTCCCACTAAGAAACATGGCGTACTTTACCTACAAAATCAAACAGCACATTTAGGTTCTAACATAGACTTAGCATACATGTTTACATATCTGTACATTGTATTACAGGAGTGTGAAGACGGCTCATTTGAAAATTCATACTATTATCGTTGATGACGATATGTAAGACAGTTGTTTTCATGCATTTTTAGAATAGTGTATTTCAATGGTCAACGTTTCCGCCAATCAACAAACGTCAATCGTAAACCGTTTGAAGTTTTAATTTGATATTGCTTCATGATTGATCCCAATTTTTACATGCAATATGTCGGACACACACCCCGACATTCTTTTCTTATTGCCGCCGTGCCCTCTTTAAACTTTATTCCTCACTTACTTACTACTTTTCTGGCAGTGTCTCCCAAGACACCCGTCTAAATAATGTATGACCTTAGCTGTTGCCAGAACGTTAAACCCCGATCCAAATGGTTCAACAATTTAAGGTACGGGGTTTATCTGGAAGTTGTACAAGGAAATATATAAATTGACCTTGTGTAATAAGATGAGGAACAGTGATAAAGATAGTGCCGTCGCTGAGGCTCGAACCCGCGACCCTTGGCTCTACAGCCCGATGCTCTACCGCTGAGCTAAAGAGAAATTCCCTACAGTGACGCATCTTTTACACTTGTACACATAATCAGAAATTTACTCTTTTTAATAGACGGTATGTCTTTACATCTATCGGTTATTTACTACACAATACTTGCCCCGTCATTATTGTTAAGACTATGAGGACGCTAACCTGTACACACCGGACATATTTACCCTTTCTATACTGATGTATAAGTTAACTACCTCCTTGCCTGTGTACATGTACATAATACACACTCTATAGGAGGTTGGTGTGGCTAACCTCTCTATACCGATGTATAACTTACCTATCTCCTTGCCTGTGTACATATACACAATACACTCTCTATAGGAGGTTGATGTGGCTAACCTCTATATACCGATGTATAACTTACCTATTTCCTTGCCTGTGTACATGTACACAATACACTCTCTATAGGAGGCTGATGTGGCTAACCTCTCTATACCGATGTATAACTTACCTATCTCCTTGCCTGTGTACATGTACACAATACACTCTCTATATGAGGTTGATGTGGCTAACCTCTCTATACCGATGCATAACTTACCTATCTCATTGCCTGTGTACATGTACAAAATACACTGTTTATAGGAGGTTGGTGTGGCTAACCTCTCTATACCGATGTATAACTTACTTATCTCCTTGCCTGTGTACATGTGCAAAATACACTGTCTATAGGATGTTGATGTGGCTAACCTCTCTATACCGATTAACATGATACACATTCTCTATCCAGTGTATTTATTTCACCTCTCTAAAGCGTAGCCTAAATTAATATCTCAATACCGGATTTACTATGTACATATAATGTACATACTCTCTAAAACGTTTTCACCATGTCTATGTATTATAAACCAAGTCTATACAGTACTTAGCCTGTCTTTAAAGTCTTTACCCTGTCTATACAGCATTTACCCTGTCTATACCGTAATTACACTGTCTATACCGTATTTACACTGTCTATACCGTATTAACCCTGTCTAAACCATATTAACCTTGTCTATACCGCATTTACTCTGTCTATACCGTATTTACCCTGTATATACCATATTTACCCTGTCTTTACAGAATTTACCCTGTCTATACAGTATGTACCCTGTCTATACCGTATTTACCCTGTCTATACCGTATTAACCCTTTCTATACCGTATTAACCCTGTCCTTACAGTATTTACCCTGTCTATACAGTATTTGCCCTGTCTATACAGCATTTACCCTGTCTATACCGTAATTACCCTGTCTATACCGTATTTACACTGTCTATACCGTATTAACCCTGTCTAAACCGTATTAACCCTGTCTATACCGCATTTACCCTGTCTATACCGTATCTACCCTGTATATAAAGTCTTTACCCTGTCTTTACAGAATTTAACCTGTCTATACAGTATGTACCCTATCTATACCGTATTAACCCTGTCTATACAGTATTTACCCTGTCTAAATCGTATTTACCCTGTCTTTACAGAATTTACCCTGTCTATACAGTATGTACCCTGTCTATACCGTATTAACCCTGTCCTTACAGTATTTACCCTGTAAATACAGTATTTACCTTGTCTATACAGTATGTACCCTGTCTATACCGTATTTACCCTGTCTATACCGTATTAACCCTTTCTATACCGTATTAACCCTGTCCTTACAGTATTTACCCTGTCTATAAGTATTTACCCTGTCTATACAGTATTTTAACCTGTATATACCGTATTTACTCTGTTTATACAGTGTTTACCCTGTCTTTACCGTATTTACCCTGTCTATACCGTATTTAACCTGTTTATACCGTATTTACCCTGTCTTTACAGTGTTTACCCTGTCTATACCGTATTTACCCTGTCTATACCGTATTTACCCTGTATATACAGTATTTACCCTATATATACAGTATTTACCCTGTCTATACCGTATTCACCATGTCTATACATAATTTACCCTGTCTATACAGTATTTACCCTGTCTATACCATATTTACCCTGTCTTTACCGTATTAACCCTGTCTATACCGTATCAACCCTGTCTATACAGTATTTACCCTGTCTATACAGTATTTACCCTGTCTTTACCGTATTTACCCTGTCTATACCGTATTCACCCTGTCTATACCGTATTTGCCCTGTCTATACCATATTTACCCTGTCTTAACCGTATTAACCCTGTCTATACCGTATCAACCCTGTCTATACAGTATTTACCCTGTCTATACAGTAGTTACCCTGTCTTTACCGTATTTACCCTGTCTATACCGTATTTACCCTGTTTATATCGTATTTACCCTATCTATATAGTATTTACCCTGTCTATACCGTATTCACCCTGTCTATACAGAATTTACCCTGTCTATACAGTATTTACCCTGTCTATACCATATTTACCCTGTCTATAATTTTTTACCCGGGCTTTACCGTCTTTACCCTGTCTTTACCGTATTTACCCTGTCTATACCGTATTTACCCTGTCTATACCGTATTAACCCTGTCTATACCGTATTTACCCTGTCTATACCGTATTTACCCTATCTATACCGTATTTACCCTGTCTATATTGTAGTCGGACCACATATTGACCACGGTAGATTTGTATGTCTGTAGACTAGACGTGGTCAGTGACCGAACGTCCGTAACGTTGGCGTTGCGCGTCTGTTCGGACATCCAGATGTACCACAAAAACGTCTCCTGGTTCGCTACTCCTTTGAACACCATGTCCCACACTGCAAAATACACATCTTTGTTAATTAATGGTCCTTAATATACGGCAGTAACAAACTGGCCTGTCTTATCCTATAATTGTATTTGTATGTTCTTTTTCCTATAATATATACTCTGCTTTGGGAATATGTGTTGATCTAACATAAATGTTTTTCTCTATTTCCCCTTTTGGGACACATCTTCCATTTATATATATTCCATTCCCTTTGCCCAAAGATTCTCTAGAACAAGTTTGGTTAAAATCCCTTCAACGGTACATAAGGAGAACGATCTTTAATGTTTTCCCCTATATATATTTTCCCTTATGGGCCCCACCCATCTGCCCCAAAGAAGGGGGCTCATACACCTCAGTTTAAACAAAATTGATTCTTTTGTCCCTAATCATGCTTCAGACTGCATTTGGTTCAAATCCCTTCACTTGTATAGTAGGAGAAAAAAGAATCCTCTATTATCCCTATTGGGCCCCGCCCCTATGCTCCCAGAAGGGCCACACCCTCTTTTTATACAAACTTGAGGCTCCGTTTTCCAACTATGCTCTGGAACAAATTTGGTCAAAATCCTTCTATTGGTTGAGAAGATTTTTTTTAAAGATTTCCCCCTATTTGGTCCCGCGTCTCTGCCCCCAGAGGGGACCATACCCTCCGTTTATATAAAACTGAGAACCTTTTGGCCAATGATGCTCCAGACCAAATTTGGTCAAAATCCCTTCATCGGAACAAAAGGAGAAGGATCTTTGATGTTTTCCTTTATTTCACCTTATGGGCCCCACCCATCTGCCCCTAGAAGGGGGCCCAAACACCTCAGTTTATACAAAATTGATTCCCTAATCATGCTTCAGACTACATTTGGTTTAAATCCCTTCACTTGTATAGTAGGAGAAAACAAATCCTCTATTTCCCCTTTTGGGCCCCGCCCCCAGAGGGGCCACACCCTCCGTTTATACAAACTTGAGTCTCCTTTGTCCAAAGATGCTTTATAAACAAATTTGGTTAAAATCCTTCTATTGGTTGAGAAGAAGAAGATTTTTAAAGATTAACCTATTTTTCCCCTATTTGGCCCGCCGCTCTGCTCCCAGGGGAACCATACCCTCCATTTATACAAAACTGAGAAACCTTTGGCCAATGATGCCCCAGACCAAATTTAGTCAAAATCCTCTGAGCCGTTCAGGACAAGTAGCGTTTTAAAGGAAAAGGTTGACGGACAACGGACGCTGCGCCATGGGATAAGCTCACTTGGCCCAAGTCGGCTTAAAATAGCCAAAACAATCAAATAGCACCTTAAATATGATATAAAATACAAAACCAATACCTGTAGTTTATTTGAGTCTAACACATTATTTATAGTAAGCTTAAGGGACATACATAGCGTTTGAAGCTGACTGAAATATACGGCTAGTAAACTTGTATTTACACGAAAATTCAAATCGGGAATACATGGTTGCCATATTTATAGAGAGGTATAAAATACCGAAAGTAATATGAAACGATTCGCTTAAATGTGATAAGAAATTCATAAGATAAATAAATATTATAAGTCGTTGAATGTTATAGTTTTATGTAGATCATGGTCAATGTGGCCGGTCTAAATTGCGGCTAATACACGATCCTGCTCAGATGGCCAAACTAAGAATCCTTTCCTAGAGTGATCAATCATTTAATTTTCATGTTTATTCAGTGATTTGGAAGAAGTTTAGACAGTCTTACAACCAAACATAGCTGTCTATCTCCAGAACTTCCTTTTTATTATGTCGCATGATTTCAGCTATCTACGGGAAAACTGATTGAACGCAGAACTCATGCTTGAGCATGAGAATGGTTTAAAAATGGCTATCATGCGTGTGCCGTGAGGAATCGGGTTTAACGACATTTTAACTTGTTTGTCAAAGTTTGAAGGTATTATAAAACTAAGTCACAAAAATACACAGGCCCAGCCTTATGTATACACCATAGGATAAAACTCCCTCCATCACGCAATCCTCGTACCAAACGTACCGGAAATGTCTTAAATGAATAAAAACTTACCTTGTAAAAAGATCGCCATGCTGTCAGCTTTCGCCACCTCTGAAACGAAAATGTAAACATAAAGATTTGAATGTAATTCATCTGTAAAGCATCTCTCTCTCTCTCTCTCTCTCTCTCTCTCTCTCTCTCTCTCTCTTTGACCATTTCTCCTAAAACAAATGCAATGTCACACAATAAGCAACATAGTCTGGATCGCTGAGAGTGATACCTTTCTAGAAAGTATATATAACTTAAAATCACATGCATTTTCTAGCATGCATCGCATTTTACTCTGGTCTAGCACATATATCTTCGGGGTTTACACATTTTATCATGATTCAGTTATGAAATAATACGACACTTTGAGAGATTTACGAAGTATATTTCTATTCAACCATTCAGTTCTATTCAGTCTTTGTTACCTTTGACTTCCATTTAATAAGAAAACAATATGTTCCTGTTATAAGTGCTATAAGTACATGTAGCTAACTACCTGAAGCGTTGCTGAATGTCCCCATCGTGTCCCCCGTAGCGTACAGGAAATAGGGTCTGTCGTCAGTCGAATGTGGCCAGCTACTGTCACACGAGAAGAAACTAGCCGAGGCATCCCGAATGTTGGTCCATCCCTGGATTGAATTGCAAGGGTTCGCTAGGGGAAATTGCTGCATAACAGTGAATCGGAGACTGGCGTAGCTCCTGAAAAAAGGACAGTATGACGTCATGGGTCATTGACGGGATTCGATCTGTCATGCCATGGTTTACAGTTGTAGAAAAAGGTCAAATCGGCTACTGATTACCATTTTTCCATCACAATAATAGATTATACGAAAAGTTAACGTTGCAGTTAAGATGTGTGTTTCAACAAGCGCAACGGAGGACAAATAATATATGAGGAATACCATGTGGTACAACGTTATTAAACATAACATACATTGAACATTCGAATAGAAAAAGGGGGGGGGGGCTGGAAAAAGGTCGAATGGGAAAAGTCTCTTACGAATTAAATATCCAAATACATACGGGCATTCTAGCGAAAAATCTCTCTTCTGATAAATAACACAATCGAGAAAATTCTGAATCTATTTTAAAAAACGGATAATTCCATCGGTTAAGTAAGAGAGAACAGAAATGCCACAGCTAGAAAAAATCTAGTTACTGCAGACAATTTATCTTCTCTTTCACTACCTACGACACAAGTAATGAATCGCCTATCATGTTCCGGGAAACATGTCAGTCACGAGCGACTACCTCAATTTGACAATAGTGCCAAACTTACCCTATTTCACAGGTTTCGGGGTTGGCAGAAGACAGATCGCTGTAGGAGGAGTACAGTAAGTTATCACAATCCATCCAGTTCGTCTTGTCTTTACCGGAGCCGTCGAAAACGATGAAGCGTTTCTCTTCATTATCTTTGAAAAAAGATATCTTGACCTGAAAATAAGAAAGTTGTATACAACAGAATGCTCCAAATATCTACATGTATATACGTATTTAAACATATTGTACAACGACCTCAACAACCGGGGACAAAATATGCCAAGTTGTCATTAAACAATTACCAAAATAGACCAGGGTCAACAAATAAGCTTTTACGAAAAAGGACAAAAATATACCGCAGTTATAGAGTACAAAGTCAACTAAACATGTAACCCAGCTTCAACACCTTAAGGATCCCCGTCTTAGCCAGAGCAAAACACTAAAGAATTCTACTGTCGTTTTTCAGTGTTAGAGTCACCTGCCCGTGATTATCATTTCGACAATGTTGTTATCTACGTATACCCTTAAATAGATTTCGTTTGAATAACGTTTCGACTACAGAGTTGTGTCCCTTGCGTTAAAAATCTCCAATCGCGAAAGTGTGGGCAAAAAAAGGTGTCGTAACGATGTAAGCAACGTCGTGGCAGTGATGGCCGACATGCAAGCCCGACGTACAATCGGCCGTTTTAAATGTAAACTAAACGCATTAACTGACAATAATAATAACAACGATGTCCAATATCAACTGCTAGACCACGACTATGCGACGAAACAAAGTGACACTCGTTCACACATTGAAGAGACGCTGGCTACTGAGGCCCCTACTACTGTACTAAGCTTACTGACAATTTTACTGATGAGCCGACACCGACGTCCGATGAGGATCCCTCCAGTACTAGTGATCACGAATACGCCAATAACGTTTTAACCTTGTCGCAGGGTAGACGAGTGGTTCAATTCGCGATGTTATCTGAATACCTGGACCAGAAAGGTTGTAGTGATTGCGGTACTAGGCTACGGTTGAATACCCACAGGAAAGACATTTTGGCCTGGGAAGTATTTTATACATCACAATAGTCAGGATTATAGTACATGTGTATGCCCAATATGCCTATACTTCGAGTTCATATTTTACATAAATATACAACAGTGTTATTTTTACAATGTGATATGCATGCTTATACCTCAATATCTTATGTTGTTATTTGTACATAATGTAAAAGTTTATTATTGTCGTATAGTGTGATATTTGTTAAACCACAATATATGTTGTTATCTGTATATAATGACAAAGTTTATTATTGCTATATAGTGTGATATTTTTTATATCACAATATGGTATGTTGTTATCTGTACATAATGTGAAAGTGTATTATTGTTTTGTTCAGAAAGTAAAAGTTTAATATTGTTGTACACAAATTAGTATGTTATTTGTACAGTATGTAGAAATATATTATTGTTGTGTAATGTATGTGGAACTTTGTTATTGTTGTTCATTGTGACACTTTTGCTATGACACAGTAAAGTACATTGTTTGTTATAATGTTATTCATACACATGTGCATTTTTATATTAGTTATTACATTTGAAGTAATTGTATTGGTTGGTAATGCCTGCTGTACTATAGTCGTATATAAAAAGTGCTATATTGTATGTTGTAAATTGTATATATGACTTTTTGGGATTTAGAATTATTATTGGTACAAATGTAAGAGTTGTCTCTCTTTTTTGTTTAGTTTTTTTTGTATCTTTATATTTATTTTGTATAATAAGTCCGCAAGTTATTTGTTTTTTTGTCACCTATATTTTCTTTTCGTTCTCCTAAACGTGTTGGATTGGCACTCGGAATTTTATTGATTCATGTAATGGGTATTTTTGTTTGTTTTAGTATTATTGTTAGAAAATTACTCAGTTTTTTTGTGCTTTGTTCATCTATATGTTTTTTTTTGCGTAATATTTCTAATAAACCATTGTTGCATCAAATAGAATTTCTTTTGTTTCATTTTGTTCCATTGAAAAAAAAACCCATCGAAATTTCATAATATCCCAAAAAAATCTGAAGAGACTACTGCAAAGTATGACTTATTGTTCAGAAAGGGTTTGGTTATGCAATAGCGATGTCGTAGAAAAAAACAAATGCCTCATTACATTTTTAGGCGGGGGACGGGGATCCTTAAGACAAAATAGAGCAAAGTTTTACAGTAACAACACAGACAAAATGGACCATAGCCCAGAAATACATGAACAAAATAGAAAAATAAATAAAAATAACTTAGTCAGAAATTATACACACGTAAAAAACATACGGAAGAAAAACAATGCACTTCCGAAAGAAACTGTTTCAAAATGCGTCACTTGTCCATTTGTGGCAAAGCAAGCTTCCACTATGGTTAGTGATTTTGTAGGGGAAAAACAATTGGACTTATTGTTATAGTAATACACATGCAAAGGCCGTGTTGGTTTCGACTTTGAGGCGACCTTGGTTCAGCCGCGATTTTGTTTTGATGGTATCGTTTTTATCAGTTTTAAATCAGACCTCGATTTCAACGCTTCGTAAATAATATCCGTCTTCCCTGAAGGAAACTGTATTACATAAATCGGGTATTTTGGAACGCTGGTATTCACCTGAGATCTGTATTGGCTGTTTCACCGCACACATGATAGGCATATCAGTGATTCGTTAATTCACATCACGTGATAGACAATAATACAGTACGTGTTGCATAACGTTGCACAAAACACTCCTAAGAGATTTAAGGGTGTGAGTTTGGCGATATTGAGTGCATTCGGCTGATTAAATACGTGTCATGCAGTTGACTACAGTGCCAACAATGTCGCTTCAGGGATTTAGAAATGTAATCTTCGTCCACGTTGTTCATAGGTCGGAACCGTGTTAAAGGGACCTTTTTGGATTAATGTATTTTTGGTGCAGTTTGTTTTTTATATATATAAAGCCAGGATGACACACGGTGGTACTTGTCCGGATTACAAAAAATATAATTACGTGAAAACCTATATGAAAATTTTGTTTGTCGATGTAGGAAACTTAAAAAAGTAAACGTTTTATTAAACCAAATGGACGATCTGTGTATTTAAGACTCACCAGGGGCTCGAAAGTTCAGATGAAATAAAAACAAAACACGTGTCACGTGCTTTAAAACTAATTTTGAAATACTACAAAAGGGGAAAATTGCATATAAAATCCTTTTGAACGTTATCTATTTAGCAAATTTGGCTGTAACAGATGACCTTTACCTTAACTATTATTACGTATACATATAAACCGGTCCTGGATATATTAACGCTTCAATGTTACAGCCAACCTCCGGGTCTGATATTCCACCTCTCCAACACCCTGTTTCGTAAATAATCATAAATAAATAAGTAAAGAAGCACCTTTTAGAAAAGTTAATTTAATGTTGAACATTTTACTACACCACAAAGGGGTTTATGTAGAACTCATCAGTTATACTTAAAGTCGAAAGAATAAAAACCAATCACGTCTTCAGTGTTCCGAAATACAGCAAAAAGGGAAAAGTGCCTATACAATTCGTAAATTACAAGTTTAACAGTCTAGGCAACGAGATAGAAACATGTAACAGTTTATGCATATAGTCTAAATTTCTAAAACTTTTTTAAAAGGTTATCGAATGTGTGATACCCTACTGATGCATGTCAAATATGTCATAACCCACTGATATATAGGTTATCAAATGTGTGGTAACCCACTGCTATATAGGTTAGCAAATGTTTGGTAACCCAATGATATATAGATTATCGAATGTGTCGTAACCCATTGATGAATAAGCTGTCGAATTTGGCAATACATATGCCGACCACTGATATCATTCGTCGTGTAATGCCTTATACAGAATCAAATAAAACTTAGTATTCTGTTAATGGAACATATTAGCAACAGACGTAGGTCGTACAGAGCCTAGGTGAAGCATATGATTGTATACATAGGCGGAGACTAAAAACAAAAGCCTTCATGAAACTGATAGGAAAGGAAACAACGAAGATCACGTGTATTGCACTGTCGAGATACTGCTGTTGTTTTAGATTTTATTTAACTTTTCACAAAAAAAGAAAATTAAAGGAGCATTTCGATTTCCTTTTCACTATTTGTATTGTTTATGTTTTGACGAATTCTGAGATCGACATATGGACAGTTATTTTAATGAATTGTTACTTCAAAGAAATGTCCGACGTAAAATATACGTTTTCATAACAAACGGATCCATTATGTAAGCTATAACGGAGGCCGACTCCTGCTAGCCCGCCCTTGACCCCGAGTTCTGTTTTTGATGTCCCTGCCAAAGTTTACTGTTTCCGTGGACGTGCCTCGGCCATGTCGTGCGCAAAGTAACTTGACGGCGGGTCGAGCATTTCTGGTTTATCTCAGAAGTTATGTGATCTGACGGATTAATTAGGTGATACGACTGACCAGGTATGTGTACACGTCCGTGCGTGACGGATGACACGGAACAGAGCTGTCATCATCAACAGCTGGGATAATTAAACACATCCATCTCAATGACATAATGTATTTACACACATAATCAACTTTCTAAACTTCACCGGCAAGGTACTTCACCCATGTTTTCAAGACAATCTGCAAAACACAGTCAAGTATGTTGTGCTTTTATTCCTTGAAGATCCGTCTAAATAATCGCCCACGATATGCAATGTATCCCCGTTTTATTAAGCATTGTATTCTCTGCTCAGTTGATACAAAACAACGTTCAAAAGAGTAGGTTCTGTCGACAATCCAATACGCATTGACAATACTACGGTTTAAACTCTATGTTAATACCGTTGACTTTTCTGTACACATCAGGAATTCTAAGATTCGATAAAAGACTACTTTTTATGGACAATAGTAAACATATTGGCATTACTAGGGCGAAAGTAAGTTATGTTTTAAGTACGTTATTAAAAGAATCGATTGCTGGCTCTGATTTCAATTGTTGTCCATTTAGTTTGGATCAAAGTAGCCATACCTTAATCAGGAATGTGTTCTGTTCCTGCTTACGATCCAAAGGCCGTTAATACCAAATGTTCTACTGTAGTTATTTTCTAATGTAGCGCGCATAAAGGCCCTTCTAGACAAAATAGTCCCGTGAAAAGGTGCAATGTTTAACGTCGAGGATTGACATTTTTTGACCGCTTTT